ATAGGGAGTGGCTTTGTGCTAGGACAGGAGAATTGGGGGGGGGGGGGGGGATTTGTGGTAAGAAGGGTAATATGTGGGAGATATTTGTGTTGGGTGGGGAAATTTGTGCTAGGAGGGGGAAGTTTGGGGGTCAATTTGAGTTGGGAGGGGGATTTGATGAAGCAAAGCTTTGGGAATTTGTACAGTAGGAGGGCACATTTTTGAATATTTTTTTTTGGGGGGGGGGGGGGGTTGACTTTGGTTTGCAGAGGGAATGTATGGTTGAGGGGCAGGGGGTGCAGATTAGTGCTGGATTTTTTGTGGGGAGGTGATTTTTGCTGAGACATGAGGCTCACACATCCTAGGGGAGGAAGAGGGGGGGCGCTCGGAGCACAGATCCTCAATGGATGTTAAGGTCCACCCACCTTGCCTCCACGTCAATAGTAAATATCCAATAACTACCCAGCGGGACTATGTCAGGGCGTGGCCCTCAGATACAGAAGCAGTTGCCTTTGTGGCCCGTCCTTGAGTTCAACCTGCCTGGTCTTAGCAGTTGGTCATAAAAAGGACGTTCAGCCAATAGGAATCAGAGATCACATGATCGCAAAAGCCTAGCCTTTGGTTTTATGAGCAGCACTGGAAGGAGCCTGCTGCAGCCTTTTCTCCTGGGAAGGTACATCAGCCCTCCTATGGCTTTCTCTTTGCCGGTCCCGGCAAGGCGGTTGCACCTTGCACTTGTAGGACGAGCCGCGCCATTCTACATTATAGGAAGAGATCATTTCAGATTTCGGCGTTCTCCGCGCGGTACGGCTCCATTATTGATGCCGCGATGATTGACGGGAATTAGAGGGGTGGCGGTGAAACATCAGACGCTGCGATTATCTCTTTTCAGGAAAAAAAAAAAGCGAAGGAAATTGTAACACAATGCTTCAAATGTCATAATAATTATCGTCGAGTCAAACACCACCCACCTCATTGTTCCGAAAAATACTTTTGTAAGTTGGGAACTTTTTTTGTGATCTGTAATGTTTGAAGGCACGCCAAGCCCTTGAAGAACGGAGTATCTTAAAGGGACCCCTGACCGCATTTGTTTGACGCGCTGACTTCGCGGGGGGCCCAGGTATTTCATCGTCGGGAGTATCCAATCCACGTAGGAATTCAGGGGCTCAGCCCACCCCAATTCACCCAGAACTAAAACATCACTTTCGAGTGAACAGACCCTTTAAATTAACCACTTGCTGTCCGGGGAAATTTTTTACATTTTCTTTCTAGAAAAATTACTTTTCTAGAAAAATATTATACTGTATAGTTTCTGAAGGCGGAGGCCACGTAGAATAAAATGGTGGCTGCTGCAATTTTTTTTTTTTTTTTTGTCACATGACACTTGTGTAGCCATTTATCAAACGTAAATTGTTAGGAAAATGAATTTTAGTGCACACAAAAAAAATATAATACCCATTTTTTTTTATAACATATTAAAATAAAAATTTATGTTTTGTTGAGTCAATAGATACCAAACATGTCAAGATTTAAAATTGCGTACACCTGTGAAATGGCAAGAAATACAGTACCTAAAATTGTCCATAGGCGTTGTTTTACAGGGTGTCAGTTTAGAGTCAATCATGAATTTTATATGCGTGGGGTGCTTTTACTTTTTATTTATTTTATTATTTTTACACTTTTTAATTTTATTTTCATTTAACTTTATTATTATTTTTATTACTAACAAGCCCACTTGTAAAGCTTTGGGCAGGGGACAGGAGGTCCTCTTTGAGGAGAAATCAGGGGTCTATTAGCTTTGGCCAGGGGACAGGTCTGTTTTAGGCAGACATCAGGGGTCTATTAGATAGCTTTGGGCAGGGGACAGGTCCTCTTTAGGGAGACAAAAGGGGTCTATTAGATAGCTTTGACCAGGGGACAGGTCCATTTTATGGAGACATCAGGGGTCCTTTAGATGGCTTTGGGCAGGGGACCGGTCCTCTTTAGGGAGACATCAGGGGTCTTTTAGCTTGGACCATGGGACAGGTCCTCTTTAGGGAGACATCGGGGGTCTATTAGTTAGCTTTGGCCAGGGGACAGGTCTGTTTTAGGCAGACATCAGGGGTCTATTAGATAGCTTTGGGTAAGGGACAGGTCCTCTTTAGGGAGACACCAGGGGTCTATTAGATAGCTTTGGGCAGGGGACAGATCCTCTTTCGGGAGACACCAGGGGTCTATTAGATAGTTTTGGTCAGGGACAGATCCTCTTTAGGGAGACACCAGGGGTCCTTTAGGTGGCTTTGGGCAGGGGACAGGTCCATTTTATGGAGACATCAGGGGTATTTTAGATAGCTTCGGCCAGGGGACAGATCCTCTTTTGCGAGACATCAGGGATCTATTAGATACCTTCGGGCATGGGACAGATCCTCTTTAGGGAGACACCAGGGGTCCTTTAGATAGCTTTGACCAGGGGACAGGTCGGTTTTATGGAGACATCAGGGGTCTATTAAATAGCTTTGGCCAGGGGACAAATCTTCTTTAGGGAGACACCAGGGGTCCTTTAGATGGCTTCGGGCAGGGGACCGGTCCTCTTTAGGGAGACACCAGGGGTCTATTAGATAGCTTTGACCAGGGGACAGGTCCGTTTTATGGAGACATAAGGGGTCCTTTAGATGGCTTTGGGCCAGGGGACCGGTCCTCTTTAGGGAGACACCAGGGGTCCTTTAGATGACTTTGGGCAGGGGACCGGTCCGTTTTATGGAGACATCAGGGGTCTTTTAGATAGCTTTGGCCAGGGGACAGATCCTCTTTAGCGAGACATCAGGGATCTATTAGATAGCTTTGGGCAGGGGACAGATCCTCTTTATGGAGACATCAGGGGTCTATTAGATAGCTTTGGCCAGGGGACCGATCCTCTTTAAGAAGACACCAGGGATCTATTAGATAGCTTTGGCCAGGGGACAGATCCTCTTTAATGAGACACCAGGGGTCCTTTAGATGGCTTTGGGCAGGGGAGAAATCCGTTTTATGGTTTTATGGAGACATCAGGGGTCCTTTAGATGGCTTCAGACAGGGGAGAGGTCCTCTTTATGGAGACTTCAGGACCACACCATGTTGCAGGAAAGAGTTGGACTTCTAATTGACAGCACACAGAAGACACAGATCCCGCACAACCCCCGCCCCTTCTCTAAAAGCTGCCAGATCGAAACGTCCATCACCCTTCCTTGTAATTGTGAAGCCCTGCGCCTCCTCTGCACTCTTCATTTTTACCGTAAAGGAAACCAGTGAGCCCAGACCTGGCCGCAGATCCAACAGAAGAGAGAGAGAGTAGAGTTGTAGCTGTCAGCTTGTGTTGTGAATGGCAGCCCTGCAGACGAGCGCCGTCAGTCACAAAAACACACAACAGCACACGCCAGCAGCTACTACACTAGTCTCTCTTGGATGAATGTAGTCGCTGCCGGCATGTGCTGTTGTCAGCTTGCGATATGAATGACCACACTGAAGACGAGCGCCGTCAGTCACAAAAACACACAACAACACATGCCAGCAGCTACTACACTAGTCTCTCTTGGATGAATGTAGTCGCTGCCGGCATGTGCTGTTGTCAGCTTGCGATATGAATGACCACACTGAAGACGAGCGCCGTCAGTCACAAAAACACCCGACAGCACACGCCAGCAGCTACTACACTAGTCTCTCTTAGATGAATGTAGTCGCTGCCGGCATGTGCTGTTGTCAGCTTGTGTTATGAATGACCGCACTGGAGACGAGCGCCGTCAGTCACAAAAAACACACACACAGCACATGACCACCACTGCCAGCATCTACTACACTAGTCTCTCTTGGATGAATGTAGTCACTGCTGGCATGTGCTGTTGTCAGCTTGTGTTATGACCACACTGAAGACGAGCACCGTCAGTCACAAAAACGCACGCCAGCAGCTACTACACTAGTCTCTCTTAGATGAATGTAGTCGCTGCCGGCATGTGCTGTTGTCAGCTTGTGTTATGACCACACTGAAGACGAGCGCCGTCATCACAAAAACACACAACAGCACACGCCAGGAGCTACTACGCTAGTCTCTCTTGGATGAATGTAGTCGCTGCCGGGCATGTGCTGTTGTCAGCTTGCGATATGAATGACCACACTGAAGACGAGCGCCGTCCACAGTCACAAAAACACACGAACAGCACACGCCAGCAGCTACTACACTAGTCTCTCTTGGATGAATGTAGTCACTGCCGGCATGTGCTGTTGTCAGCTTGTGTTATGAATGACCACACTGAAGACGAGCAAGCACCGTCAGTCACAAAAACGCACAACAGCACACGCCAGCAGCTACTACACTAATCTCTCTTGGACAAATGTAGTAGCAGTTGGCATGTGCTGCTGTCAGCTTGTGTTTTTTGTGAACCACGGTGTTCCTCTCCAGCTACAGTCACAACAGAAGCTGACAGCTACAACTGTACTCTCTCTCCTCTGATCTGAAAGAGCAGTATGCTGCCGGCGGGTGGACAGGCAGGCAAGTGGGTGGTCTTTTTCAGTAAAAAAAGAAGCATGAAGAGCTTGTTGTCAGCTTGTGTTTTTGTAAACAACCTTGCTGCACTCCATGCACCGTCATTCACAACACGAGCAGACAGCCACAACTGTACTCTCTCTCCTCCGATCCAATAGAGCATGCTGCTGCTGGCAGGTAGGCAGGCGGGCAGTATTTTCAGTCAAAAAGAAGCATGGAGAGGAGACCAGGCTTTGCAATTACATGGGAAGGTGGTATATTGAAGAGGAGGGATTGGCTGTCTCTTCCTTCATAGGAACAGCCATAAATTGGGCTTCAGCTTAGGGAGGGGCTATGGAAATAAAAAATAGCTGGCAATTCAGTGAGTGACGGAGTAGATTTTCAAAAATGTGCTTTTGTCTAATGAAAAATATGATTTTTTTTTTTTTTGCAACTCACCGGATGGATCACCACTGCCTGCTGGCGGTCGTGGAGTAGGGCTCGCAGATAAGAGGAGGAGCTGAAGGACGATGAAGGATTCACCATGATGTAGGGATGCTGCGGCTGCCAAGACAGAAACCTAAATTATATGAGATACTTTATGCCAAAATCATACCTCCGGCCTTCTCTTCAGTCTTGCACAGGTGTACCGACTCCTCCCCTTCAGCTTGCACAGGTGTACCGGCTCCTCCCCTTCAGCTTGCACAGGCGTACCGGCTCCTCCCCTTCAGCCTTGCACAGGTGTAGCGGCTCCTCCCCTTCAGCCTTGCACAGGTGTAGCGGCTCCTCCCCTTCAGCCTTGCACAGGTGTAGCGGCTTCTCCCCTTCAGCCTTGCACAGGTGTAGCGGCTCCTCCCCTTCAGTCTTGCACAGGTGTAGGCCTACGGCTCCTCCCCTTCAGCAGGTGTAGCGGCTCCTCCCCTTCAGTCTTGCACAGGTGTAGCGGCTCTCCCCTTCAGTCTTGCACAGGTGTAGCGGAACCTCCCCTTCAGTCTTGCACAGGTGTTCCGGCTCCTCCCCTTCAGTCTTACACAGGTGTAGTGGCTCCTCCCCTGGACTGAAACGGCTTCCTCTGATTTCACTGCACACTGGGAGCTCCTCACAATGTGTATTAGAAGCTGCAGCAAGTATGATAGAGCTCCGCCTCCTTTCCTGGCTGGAGGCCCCGCCCCTTTCGTTCATTCAAGGATTTCAGTTTCTTCAAGCATGGAGGCTCAGCATCACATATGGGCCATCTGTATTCAAATACAGCCTATCTAGTAACACCCACGCCTCCATACTGACACCCACCAAGGCATTTTGATATTTGCATAACTCCTCCCACTGCTTGCATCAGGGCTGAGGGCTCTTGTGAAGGGTACTGAGTCAGGGCACTGAGTTATTCAGGAAGCTATGCACAGCCCCCTCCCACTAGCCCTGATCTGCCTGCACTGCTTAGAGAAGCACAGAGACCCAGTGATGACAGCACTGGCCGTAAAATAAGGGGATCTTAAGAAAAACAGAAAGGCTTGAATTAAAAATGTTGTTAGCTTGTAATGAAGGAATTTAAGAAGGGCAGATTAAACTTCAGCTTTGAATAAGCTTTATCAATCACTAAAAAAAACAATACCTGATGCATTTGTGAACTGGCCCCAGCACTCCTGCGATTCCATTGGCTAATGTGGCCCTTTCCTTTCCCATCTGGCTGACTGTCGCTTTCCGCGGATGAAACCGGAGCCGCCTTGCTGGCCTGAGGGCTGGGCATTTGGTCCTTTTTAGTTACCTATAAAAAAAAAATATATAAAACCCAAATATAAAAAAAATATAAAAAGAACCTGAAAAAATGCATATCAGCTCTGTCAGTCTAGCAGGTTTGTGGTTGAACACCAGAACATTCTACAACCTGCTGCTCCATATTTTTGATGGTTTTGGGCACCCACCACCAGGGGCGGACTGACAACTCATGGGGCCCCCCCACCGGGGCAATATGGGATCATGGGGCCCCTGTGTCCTTGCCCAAACTCAAAAAAAGCCTACCAGGGGCATCTCATGGGGCCCCCTACTGACCCCGGGCCCTCGTGCAGCGCCCGAGTTTCCAAATGGTCAGTCCGCCCCTGCCCACCACATAGGTAGATACACAGGAGGGTCCGACTCAGGTCAGGAAGGGGCTTTTAAACCCATAAAATTTTATGAACAGTTCGGTCCAATCACTGTAGGGCGTGGCCACCCAACTGGAGGCTCAGGGCCCAATTTAAAACCTGAATACATTACGGGGACATCAAAGCAATAGGGGTTCAAGGTCTTTATAACTAGTTTTCTTTTTAAATCAGCCATTGCCTGCAAAGAAAAGCCTGTCCCCCGTAGCATCCTGCAGCAGAGGGACCTTTCTTCTCTTTGTGGAAGCAGTGGTCTCTCTGCAGAGGTCCAACACGCCTCTATAGTTCTGTCCAGGGGCAGACTGACCATTTGGAAACTCGGGCACTGCCCAAGGGCCCGGGGTCAGTAGGGGGCCCCGTGAGATGCCCCTGGTACCTTTTTCATAGGCTTTTTTGAGTTTGGGCAAGGACACAGGGGCCCCATGATACCCTATTGCCCGGGGGCCCCATGAGTTGTCGGTCCGCCCCTGGTTCTGTCAGTAACAAAGCGCATGCTGTGAAGCCTGTGAAGGGACAGTGAAAAGAGAAGCAGCGCAGCGGTGAATCCATGTTTTGGTCACTCTGCTCTCTTCCGATTAGCCTGTTGCTTGTTTACACGTGAACTGGCTTGCTCCTTCTGCTGTTTCTTCCTCTTCCAGGCTGAGTGCTGCTGTATAGGGAGGCCGACACCACATCAAATTTGGGTACGCTGCTTGCATTGAAAGATGCGTTTAACAATGTATTCATGATTACAGAGCTGCATCACGTTGCGGATTTTAGGTATACTTGATATGTATACCTTTCAGGTGGGCCTGCTCTCTGTTTGTGCATTGCTACATATGTCCCATAGTTGGGAAGCTGGGGGAGTACAGGGTAGCAGAGAGTAAAATACCCAACTTATTTTATTTTATATATATATATATATATATATATATATATATACACACATACATACACTATGTATGCCTTTAGGTGAGCTTGCGCTCTTTTTGTGCATCACTATACATACCCCCATAGCTGGGAACACAGTGTGGATTTAGGGACCAAAGTATCTCATATATATATATATATATATATTTAATTTATTTTTAATTATTATTTATTTAAAATAAGTGGATATAGGCTCACCTGGAGGCATCCATACTATGTATGCCTCCAGGTGAGCCTGCTCTCTGTTTGTGCATTGCTATACATGTCCCATAGTTGGGAAGCTGGGAACACAGGTAGCAGAGAGTTAGATGCCCATCTTATAATATATATATACTGTAATATATATATATATTTATATATTTAAAAGCTCACCTGGAGACATATATACTATGTATACCTTTAGCCTTTAGGTGAGTTTGCTCTCTGCTTGTGTATTACTATACATGTCCCATAGCTGGGAACACAGATAACGTAGTTTTAGGGACCAAACGTATCATATATATATATATGTATTTTTATTTATTTTTTTTTATAAAAAATAAGTGGATATAGGCTCACCTGGAGGCATATTTATTATAAATGACTCCAGGTGAGCCTGCTCTCTGTTTGTGCGTTGCTATACATGTCCCATAGTTGGGAAGCTGGGAACACAGGTAGCAGAGAGTTAGATGCCCATCTTATAATATATATATATATATATATACTGTATATATATATTTATATATATAAAAGCTCACCTGGAGGCATATATACTATGTATACCTTTAGCCTTTAGGTGAGCTTGCTCTCTGCTTGTGCATTACTATACATGTCCCATAGCTGGGAACACAGATAACGTAGTTTTAGGGACCAAACGTATCATATATATAGTATATATGTATTTTTATTTTATTTTTTTTATAAAAAATAAGTGGATATAGGCTCATCTGGAGGCATATTTATTATAAATGACTCCAGGTGAGCCTGCTCTCTGTTTGTGCATTGCTATACATGTCCCATAGCTGGGAACACAGATAACGTAGTTTTAGGGACCGAACGTATCATATATATATATATATATATTTATTTTTTTTTTTATAAAAAATAAGTGGATATAGGCTCATCTGGAGACATATTTATTATAAATGACTCCAGGTGAGCCTGCTCTCTGTTTGTGCGTTGCTATACATGTCCCATAGTTGGGAATACAGTGTAGAGTTAGGGACCGAAAGTACTATTTTATATATATATATATATATACATATATATATATATATATATATTATAAACAAATATGTTTGGTCCCTAACTCTACACTGTATTTTCCCAGCTATGGGACATGTAAAGCAATGCACAAACAGAGAGCAGGCTCACCTGGAGTCATGTATAGTATATATGTCTCCAGGTGAGCTTGCTCTCTGTTTGTGGATTGCTGTATATGTCATTTTTATATATATATATATATATATATATATATATATATATATATATATATATATATTATTATCTCATTCAAGGTTAACACAAACTTACCCCAACCACGTGGACAAAGCCCTTTGTCTCCAGACATCTATGTCTTCTACTTTACAGACATCTAAAACTACATTTCTCATGGGTAGTCCCCCTCCCCCACCAAAAGATTTCCATTGACACTCGTTCACCCCGTAGTTCTCGGGGTACGTCTAGATTTTAAGAAGCCATCTGCTGCTCTGTCTGAGATCCGTACTGTACAGGAAACAAAACCCACATAGGACGCGTCTGTATCTGATGCTTCCTTTCCGGTGTATGCCTAACCGACTTTTCTTTGCTTTGTCTCTATACCGATCTGTAACCTTTGCGAGGAAAACACTCCACGAGGTTCAAAAAAAAAAATCAGAAAAAATACCCATTATGTGAAAGCCTGTACTGTAATCCCATACTGTAAAGTCAGAAATCTTTCATCATACGAGGCAGAAAGAACGTCACGTTTTTATAAAAGGCAATCAAAGAATTTTAAAGCTAAAAGTTTTTTTTATGTCGGATAAGAGCCGCGGGCCGGGCCAAGGAGTTGGCGGAAAAGGCGTCCTCCTTGGGCACCACTCTACAGGGGGAGCCATTCTTGCCTCTGCACAGTGCTGGACAAGCTGTCCAATTTAAGGCAAGGTGGGGCCCTGGATATTTATCCTCTACCAATAGATATGAAGCCAAGTGGCTCTCCACTGGAAGCCCCTAAAAAATGAAGGCCAGATGAAGCCAACTAGTCTATATACAGTTGCATCAGAAAGACCTCCAGACAAATGATCCAACAGTCCAGCAATGGTTGACAGGTCTTAGTAAATAAGACGGGTCTTAGTAAATGGGACGGGTCTTGGCGGGCTCCTGCCCAGCCGACCCGGGCCCTCTGAGATTACTGAATTACCTTACGCACGGTGACGCGGCAAGCGCTTTTCCCCAGCGACACAATGTACGGCGGGGGTAGTGATCACTAAATGGTTCGATGGCTCAGGTCCTTCACATCACAGCCCCCTTCCTCTTATATTGCAATCCCGTACTTACATTCTCAGCCCCCTTCATATCACAACGCCCCCCCCCCCCCCCCCACAGCTTCTGCCCTCCTTCACATTACCCCTCCCCCACATTGGTGTCTTCCTCCCCCTTCACATCCCCCCCGCCACAGTAGTGTCCTCTGCACCCCTTCACATCCCCCCCGCCCAGCGGTGTCCTCTAGCCCCCAGTTCATATCACAGACCTCGCAGGTCTTCCCTCCACTTCACATCACAGCCCCCCCGCAGCTCTGTCCCCCCTTCACATGACAGACCCCACAGTTCTGTCCCCCCTTCACATCATAGACGCCTGCAGCTCTGTTCCCCCGCCACATCACAGACCCCCACCTCTCTGTCCCCCTCCACATCATAGACCCTCACAACTATGTCCCCCTCCACATCACAGATCCCACACAGTTCTGTACCCCTTCACATCACAGCCCCCCACAGCTCTGTCTCCCCACCACATCACAGACCCACACAGTTCTGTCCCCCTCTACATCACAGACCCACACAGCTCTGTTCCCCCTTCACATCATAGCCCCACACAGCTCTGTCCCCCCTTCACATCACAACCCCACACAGCTCTGTCCCCCCTTCACATCACAGACCCCCACAGCTCTGTCCCCCTCCACATCACAGACCCCCACAGCTCTGTCCCCCTTCACATCATAGACCCCCACAACTCTGTCCCCCTCCACAACTCAGACCCCCACAGCTCTGTCCCCCTTCACATCATAGACCCCCCCACAACTCTGTCCCCCTCCACAACTCAGACCCCCACAGTTCTGTCCCCCTCTTCACAT